CGATGGTGGTCCCATAAAAATTAGTACCATACAGCCTAGGTGTGTAGTAGGCTATATTATCTAGGTTTGTGCAAGTATACTCTATGATCACAGTGAAAAAAAACCGCTTAACGACGTACTTCTCACAATGTATCCCCATTGTTAAGTGATGCATGGCTGTATTGGTCTCTGCCTCTGGTTCCTGGCACAGAGTGCTTAAAATCCTTGGGATTTCCTAAGTGATAAAAGCACTAGGAGCATCTTTTGTTCTATTTGGTCTTTGACCTGGTTTCTTGAAACCAAGCTCCCAAAATCCCTTACAATTTCTTGGGTGATACAAATGTCTTTTGTTTTATTTTTTATTTATTTTTAATTTTATTTATTTATTTTTTTCCCCCAAAGCCCCAGTAGATAGTTGTATGTCATAGCTGCACATCCTTCTAGTTGCTGTATGTGGGACGTGGCCTCAGCATGGCCGGAGAAGCAGTGCGTCGGTGCGCGCCTGGGATTGAACCCGGGCCGCCAGCAGCGGAGCACGTGCACTTAAGCGCTAAGCCACGGGGCCGGCCCCAAATGTCTTTTGTTTTAATGAGTTGTTGGTGGCTCCCTGATGGGGGTTGGTCACCTGAAAGAAAAAGGCATGATTAAAAGCTTGGAATTTTCAGCCCCACCCACCACCCTCCAGAAAGGGGCTGGAAATTGAGTTAATGATCTATCATGCCTGTGTGATGAAGCCTCCATAAAACCCCCCCCCCCGAGGATAGGGTTCAGGGAGCTTCTAGGCTGGTGAACACATAAAAGTGCTGGGAGAGAGCACGGAAGCTCCATATGTCTTCCCACATACCTTGCCCTATGCATCTCTCTGATCTATTTCTATCCTTTTATAATAAAGCAGTAATCCACTAAGAGAACTATTTTCCTGTGAGCTGCTCTAGCAAATTAATTGAACCCAAGGCAGGGGTCAGTATAAACCTCTGATTTATAGCCAGTCAGTCAGCAGCACAGGTAACAACCTGGACTTGTGATTGGCATCTGCAGCAGAGAGCAATCTCGTGGGACTGAACTCTATAACCTGTGGGATCTGATGTTACACCAACGTAGTGTCAGAATTGAATTATTAAATTGGAGGACACCCAGCTGGTGCCACAGAGAATTGCTTGTTAGGAAAAACCTCCACACAGTTGGTGACCAGAAGTGTCAGAAGCCTGTGTGGTGGTAGTGTCAGAGTAAAAGAAACACACAAGAGTAGAGTAGGTTTCTCCTCGACACTCTGTTCATCTATTTGTTCAAGGAATCCTGGCTCTTTTTATTGGCGATTGGTATTCAGAAACCAAGGTCTAGGGCCGACCCCGTGGCTTAGCGGTTAAGTGCGCAGGCTCCGATGCTGGCGGCCCGGGTTCGGATCCGGGCACGCACCGATGCACTGCTTCTCCGGCCATGCTGAGGCCACGTCCCACGTACAGCAGCTAGAAGGATGTGCAGCTGTGACATACAACTATCTACTGGGGCTTTGGGGGGAAAATAAATAAATA